TAGGCATCTCCTCGACATGTTTCATGAGGTGTGGTTCACAAGGTCGTTCAAAATTATCAATAGGTAAAAGATTTCAATTCTCCTCAAGTTTGCCGAAGCAATCTCCATCAAGCGCCTGAAACCCGATTTATGAGTTCATAAAGAAGCGGTTATCACTGATATAAGTATAAAACATGGGCACTGTGGTAGAGTATAACTCCATTGTGGACAAGATTTCATTTTGATAAATCATACAGTGTAATACAGTAGTATTAACTGATGACGTTCCGAGCACACCAGTCAAATCAGAGGACGATAATAAACAATCTTAAATTTCTATTTCAATTCAATTACGATAAAGAAAGGAAGACGAAATTTGCAGTATAAAATGATATCATTCTATTTCACAGGTTCTCATCAGCTGCAGACTACCTGAAATTACAATGGTTATATAAATGATAATAACATACTTTAATGTTTGATTAGTAGTAGAGAAGAGATAAAATTGACGCATCCAAAAAAGAATGAAAGCATTACAATTTTAGTTTAAGTTATCATCATCAATTTATACACTTTCAGAGTTGAAAAGAGGGGGGAGGGGTAAGACAGAAAACAGAAAAATTGATTAACAGAAACAGTGTTAGCTTGTAGGTTCACATGGCAACTCCAAAAAACAAAAGCATTTACAGTTTATAAGATTGAGATTTGCTCAGTGAGTTGAGATTACTGATGACTAATCAAAATCAAAATTCAGTTACCAAGGGAGTGAGAGGTTAATCACACTCTCTTTCTGTATGCATAAGTCTGGTTTAAATCGTTTGATTGCGATCGCTTCGGCAAATCGTAGTAAACTTGCTGTCCTTTGTCTATTTAGTATTTTGAAGGACTTAGAGATCTCTACGAGATGTCCGGTATCAACAATATGTCTGGTATCAACAATATGTCAATTCAATTACATCATAACATTCTAACAAGTTACTTATTTTGACTATAAAAACACTCATCTTATTTCCCATCTGATTGTATTTCATCAATAACACTCATATTATTATTTCTGAATGTACATTATCCTATATTGGTTTTTATTCAAATGTCTAATCAGTTCACTCATGTATATAAATGAAGAAAAAAATTGTGTGAGTAACTTGATATGATTATGAGCAATAGTTTGTGTTCGAAACGTGGTCATCATTTAATATTACTGTATGACTGATCAAAATAAAATCTTATCCATAAAGGCGATTATCAGTCTTTCCTTCCCTGGTAACAAGATGTTTTTATCCTCTCCTTCATTTGTCTATGTAACGCCAAAAACTGTATTCTGTATGATTATTATTGTTTGGGATAAAGTGTTTATTATTATAGCCATTGTGTGCATATATCGATTTTTTGTTTAAAAATGAACTCTTTGCAAGTATGTTGAAATTTTTCGGTACATAAACTTAATAATTTATTTAGGCTGTAAGCAGTTGTTGAGAAGCCAACAAAATAAATGAGAGTGCCATTTTATTCTTCACATACTGTTGTTCTTCCCTTATTCAGATTACAGTTCAAAGTACAAGTATTTAATAGTGTGACATGGTGCTACTGACAAGAGTAATTAGTAGTATGTATGGAGATGTTCATCGGCACAACAACATCAAATAGCGAAGAGATAGACTGGATGTCGAAGGGAGCAAATGAACCAGTACTGAGGCAAGACTTAGAAGACACGAAAAGAATACAAAGAAACAAAATTACGAAGGACAAAAGTGGCATAACATGTAAATGACGATTTTCGTAAAAGGTGTACATAATTTCCATATATAGAGATGTCAAATTTGAAATACACATTCCTTTACTACGTCTTTTGTCTTCTACCTTTACAGTAGTGTGCACAAATGCAGCACCAAACCAAACATCAAATAAGTTAATAAAGGAAAGGTTTTGTTTGCACAAGTATGATAATAAATAAGGGATAAGGGGGATAACGTAACGGAGTATTTATGAATTTATAGATTCCACAGCATTCTAGGATAGCAAACATGGTTGGACTTATTTGTTCAGTGACAAATCTTTTGAAATTTTTAATAACCATCTTTAATAAATTAAATTAATGAAGGAACAAAAAGTCCAGCGAAGAGTCTCTTTTCGCCTAATTCATTCGCTTGATTGTAAAATCATATTTATTAAATCATGGAAAATTCCCATTGGAACATTTAGAAAATCAGAACAAGTGATTCACTGAAGAGTCTTTTTGCAACGAATTTATCATCAAGCTGTACAATCGTATATATATGTATGGTTTTTTTTTAAAGAAATTATATCCGGTGAGGGAATTGAATCATAGGTGTGAATGCATAAAGTAATAATAATAATATGAAATGCAATTAAAACTAAAATGTTTGTGATCATAATCATAGTTAAATGTCAAGTGGCAAAACAAACTAATGTCATATATAGAATAATTCATAGGATGGATAGAACTTGAAAAGGGTGTGCAATTATAGGATTAGTAGACAAATCGAATAAAATAAAAACGTTACGTAATATTGTGTGAAATTTGATAACATAGAATTCAACGTTGCGAAAAAGAAGAATTGATTTAGAATGACAAGTGGAACAAGTGAAATAATACCGGGGACAGTTAAAAGTGAGAGTAGTAATAGTAACAATTGACGTAATAAGGAAGAGTATACAAACTGAATGGACAAAAATGAAAAAATGAAAAATTGGTAGAGCTAAAATATGATTGGGGATTACCGTACTTTAGCATAGAGGGATTAAGACCATGAAAGTTGGAGGGGTTGAACGAACTTTTTCTGTACACAGAGATCTGGCTTTTCTGTTTCGATAGCCAAAGCTTCAGCAATACAGATGAGTCGGGTACGTAGGGATTTGGGTAAATTACTCTTTGCCTTGTAGATGACTTTAAAGGAGGAGGCTATAGAGATAGGGTGATCATTATCGACCAGATGGTCAGTGATCGCGCTTCTTATTGCTCCACTTCCACCTTTTCGTAACCATGCAGGATAGTGTTCTTGCACGCTCTTGGACAAAACTCGAGTCGAACGACCGATATACCTAGCTCCACACGAGCAGGTGAATTGATAAACACACATAGAGTTGGTCAACAGCGGGATCTCGTCCTTCAGGTTATTGAACAGCAATGGTCGACTAGTAAAGGTGCAGCAGGGAGTGTTCTGTTCAGGGACTGTGATGTCCTCCGTTTCATGATATCGGAAGCTAAGTCCCCTTTGAATTTCAAGCTCATGTAAAGTAATTTCTTGGGTACGGATGATAAGTCACATTTAACAGGATTTGAATGTATATTCTTATCTATAAAACGTGGTGGAAATCCATTTTCTATTAGGATTTTCCTTAAAAAGATATAACTCATCATCCACAGTATCAGGGCTACATATTCGCCGAATGCGAGTGGCAAGCGACCGGATCAGGTTTCGTTTCAGACCGATGGATACTCTAGAAAATTGTCAGTTGACCATTCCCTGATAGCTTTCGATAAATCGATCTCTCTAGAGTTCCATCGGTCCTTCTTGATAAGTTCACATCGAGGAAATGAATGCTAGACTCGTTCTCCATTTCGAGTGTGAATTTTATCGCGGGATGGCAACCATTAAATACATTAAATACACACCTATGATTCAATTCCCTCACCGGATATAACTTATTAAAAAAAACCATATATATATATATATATATATATATATACCCGAAGACTTACAAGTGAAAACCAACAGGTTGTCAGAAGAGGCAGGCAGCGCAGATAGGACTCCGAGTGAACATCAAGAAGACGGAGGTGATGAAGATACCCAACCAACCATAACCGTTAAAAACAACAACAACAACCAGTATCAATCACCATCAACGGGAGAGGTTTGGTATAGGTTATTTCCTTCACTTATCTGGCCAGGTAGCAATGGTTCAACAACAGTTGACGGCACAAATGAGGACATAAAAACTAGTATGGGTCAAAGCAGCAAGACAGAAATTCGTCACTTTGAAATCAGTTTGGAAATCTTCTGCACTCGGCATAAACAACAAAATTCTGATTTTCTACACCATTGTGAAGTCAGTCAGTTCTTCCATATGGGTCAGAAACTTGTTGCGTCACATGAGGTATTTCTGACAGTTTATTGCAGACTTTTTTCAGCAGCTATCTTAGTTGGGTCCATATTAAAGATCAAATGACCAGCCAGAAAGAATAAACAACAAGAAACTCTGGGAACGAACCAATCAACAACTTATTACTCAACAATTATTCCGAAGGAAATGGAGAGGGATCTGACACACGCTGAGGAGACCACCGAGTGAGACTCTACATCAGACCATCGGTTTAGTGAAACCCGAGTGGGGAGAGGATGAGTTGGGCGTTGTTTCGAGTGTGACATAGAAGAGATTGTGAGAGGAGGTGATGCGACCCCACGGGGAATCATGTGGCCGGCTGAAGAGGACTGAAGAGAACAGGAAGGAGTATAAATATGCTGTTGAAGCTCTAAGTTCCCCTCTGAACTCAAGGAAATAATAATAGAAGTAATAACATTCATAAAATCAGAATTAATGATTATTTCACTGAGTTCTATTGTAAAGTTATAAATAATGATGTAAGTACTCTAACCTAGTCTTAACGTTCAGAATTCTGTCCTCACAACTAATTTCCGCTAACTGAAATTACACTTATTAGTGTGAAGATATATAATTTTCTGACTAAGTTATTGGATTGCAAAGACCATAATTCAAAGTATGTCAGTGAATTTCAGAAAAGTAATCTTCTGCTACAAGATTGTAATCCTACAACTCATCATTTAGGAGTTCAACAGAAGAGAACTCACATCAATATGATTAGATGTATTGATTAAAAACTCAGGTAATATGTAATGGGAAATCGATGAATGATAAATGAACGTAGACTTTAGAATTGAAAAATTAGCTGTAAGCTCATCGATTGGAATGTAGAGCCACACAAAACAAAACCGCTTAAATCTCTTTTTCACATTTTATTAGTAGTAACACTTATAAGTCCCCTTTTGTGTAAGTTTATTTTGACAACAGCAAAAACTAAACAAATGGTTAACAATGCCACAAAAGTACTCTGAGCTAAAACTTGTTTATTTTAGTTAGAAAAAATTTATGAAGAAAGTGTGTGTGTATGTACGGAGAGATGAATTGTCAGCTGTGCATAAAACTCATTTCGTGGACTTCAACCAGTATATATATATATATAAATGGGCTGGTAGTATGTTTATTATTCTTCATTTTCAATACAGCCGATGGTTTCCAGCGATATACTCTTGCCTGCTTCTCTTAGCAAATGTGTTGTTAAGGTTGATTCAGTCTCATCACCATTAGACATCATATTGTCATCATTAGAAGTTTCGTCCGTCTTCCTTTCTTGAAAACTGTAGAAAACTTTAGGTCGTTGTGTTATCTTACGTTCAAATTTTCGGTCATCATCTATGGATTGAATAAACGGTGTTGATGTAGCCAGCGCTTTGGGTAGTTGATTAGCAGTCGGTGTCAGTAGTCGCCTATCAGCATTCCAGTCAGACGCAAGAATAGTTTCATCGTGCAAGGATCTTTTTTCCTTTAAAGAAGAAGATTGCTTCTGTTGACTCTGAAAATTTTACAGAAACAATAATAAAACATAACAGTAGTAATTATTCGTTAGTTTGTAGGGATTTAGTTGGTTACAGGACTTTATCATGAGCTGATATTGGTTAGAGAATCATTGGAAAATCTGTAAACCAACAGTTGAATAATAATCTGATGCTCACTAGCGACTGCCCTTATTCAGGTAAGTAGTTACCTGGATTCTAGTGGGATTTAGTGACCAATGAGGTACAGCAGGTCAGGTGTGAGGATAAATTCTTGTCACACATGACGCTGACTAGTGGTCGCGCCATGCCGTCCGTGAATTGGCAGAAGTTGAAATTCATGGGTCATTGGGCTGGGTATCAGTGGGTGAATGGTCTACGAGCTCGCTTTGTAGCCGGAAGGTCCTGGGTTCAGACCTCACTGGTGGGTGCGCACTGATGAAGAGTTCCTAGTTAGGACAAAACAGATTTCCAGTACTCCAGTACTGGTTTTCAAAGGTTCTGTAGCTGTTATCAACCGGTGGTTGTTTTTGAAACCATTTTTATTCTCACTATGAACTGTTTTCAGTATTATTCCACCTGTCCCATTTATTATTTTAAATTTGTAAAATTTTTGTGATTTTATATTCCCAAGTATTGGTTTTGTAGGGATTTTGTTTAATTGCATGGAGGATTTTATCATGAGCTGACATCAGTTAGAGAACCACTGGAAAACCAGCCACAGGGAGTACTGGACAGCTGTCTCGTCCTAGTTTGGGACTCTTCAGCAGTACGCTCCCACCGGGATTCGAACCCAGGACCTTCTGGTTACAAGGCGAGCTCGTAGACCATTGAGCTACTGGGACCCGATCCAATGGTCCCTGAATTCTAACTTCTGCCAATTCACGACATAGCGCGATCATTTCGCAATGTCTTCTTCGATGAGTTACTGCCTCATGTTCAACCTGCTGTACCTTACTGGTTACGGCTTCCCACTAGAACCCCAGGTTAACTGCCTGAGTAGGGCCAGTCACTAGTGAGCATCAGATTAATTTTCAAGTATTGGTTTTGTAGGGATTTTGTTTGATTGCATGGAGGATTTCATCATGAGCTGACATCAAATTTTACATCATGTTCTGTGAAGTACTTGCAGGTTTTCCAGTGTTTCACTAACTGATATCAGCCCATGATGAAATCCTTTAACAATTGTAGTTGGGACAGCCTAAAATGTTAAAAAGATGTGAAATACAATAAACAAAACTTAACCTTGTAGATCACGCCTAATAGTTGGGTGATGATTTTATTTATACAGATTGTTTAAAAGTTAAAAGCGAGTTCAGGCTGGCGTCTAATGAGTTGCTTGCCTAGCTTTCTATTCATTTAGCTAACAATCGACACTGCTTTCTTAAATATAACAGATGAGCAGCGAAACAAAAAGAGTTATTTGTGCATACTACAGCATAAATATAAACACATTCTTTTGCAAAATGATCAGGTTGGGATTTACAGTATCGCCATTGCCAGACATCTGCCTGATACGGTTCGTAAGGTATAAACCACGAAATCCGTTAAAATTATCAATAGAGAAAATAGTTAAATTCTCCACTGGCTTCCTGAAGTAACGCCTTTCAAACGCCTGAAACCCGATTTATGTGTTCAGAAAGAAGCACTTATCAGTCTTCCCATACCCTGGTAACTGGATGTGTTTACTATCTCTTTCACTTGATTACGTTACCCTTGGCTTTAACCTTCCCCCATTTTCACATAGTTTAACTTTGCTTTGCTCTTGTTTATGTGATTTGAATTGAATTCACCACGTTGTTACTCACTTTATTATCTACATATAATCTTATTCACCTCTTATCTTTATAACATAACTAATACCATTGTATCCAATTGTTTATTTTGTTTTAACTTGAAATTTCTGGGTATAAACTATGTAAGTATAATTTCTGAGCACTATCTATTAAGTTTGGAGTCTTCTGCCGACTGACATTATGTAGCATTTGCAAGTGTGCTAATATCGTTCTATGCATAAACTTAATAATTTCTTTAGGTGATATGCAGATGACGAGAAGCCAACGAATAAATGATGGTGTCATCTTATTCTGCACAAACTGTTGTACTCGCTTCTTTGAAATACCATCTTTTTATTGATAAGATATTCTCTGGCTAACTAACGAAATTTACTAATACTGTTAGATAATCCCGTCTTTTCTGAAACACTATTATTATAAATTGGTCTGGTAATGTTAAATCACACGGGCGTCTTTGTAATACTGATTCAGAAACAACACAATTATTGGTTAGGGAGGATAAGTAGTTTCAGACAATCAAGAATTTCCATTCACTAAGATATCTAAAAACTCGTAACAATCCAAACTCAACTTCTGTTGGTGTTGACAGCCTGGCATAATATTTATTTTTTTTCAAATTTAAGCATTTGAATGTCAAACTTCACTTAGTTATGTACGGTAAATGCAATTGATTCTTCGTACAGTGATACAAATTATTCTGTTGCTTATATCTGTCTGTTTGTTTAACAAAGTAATCATAGTTGATGGTGATGTCCGATGGCTAGTTTATGATCCTTTTATATTTTTAATATTTTTCTTGTGCAGTGAAGTTTCCATAGCAGTTTGATTAACTTTCAGGGGTAGGGTCACTATCCCCACGCCTAACCCTCCCTCTTTAATCCTGGCTTGGGACAGGCTAGAAAACTAGACGTTTGCCTTCGATCCATATTGAAGGTCAAATAGCCAGCCAGAAAGAATAAACAACAAGAAACTCTGGGAACGAACCAATCAACAACTTATTACTCAACAATTATTCCGAAGGAAATGGAGAGGGATCTGACACACGCTGAGGAGACCACCGAGTGAGACTCTACATCAGACCATCGGTTTAGTGAAACCCGAGTGGGGAGAGGATGAGTTGGGCGTTGTTTCGAGTGTGACATAGAAGATATTGTGAGAGGAGGTGATGCGACCCCACGGGGAATCATGTGGCCGGCTGAAGAGGACTGCAGAGAACAGGAATGATTGGAGATATGCTGTTGAAGCCCTATGTTCCAACCGCAATCCAAAGGAGCAACTATAGTAAATAAGTTTATGATCTTGGGTCAGAAGTCGAGGAGGAGTTTCACTTTATCTTACATAGTATTTTTCACAACTGATACATTTATCTTGTAGATGGGTTTGCTCTTGCCTTCATTCGCCATTGGGTCTTGAACGAAGTGACTGTATTACTTTTGTGCAGTATCTGTATTGAGTAAATTTTTTTATTCTAGCCGTTATTTCATTGACACTCTTCATGTACGGTAGGGTAGAATCTCTTGCAGTTTCTTGCTGATAGTTTAATTCCAGTTTGCAGAGTTTCGATAAAATTTTTAGGGCATTCGATTTTCTTGAATTGGTTAATAGATACTTTTCTTCTCTTTTCCCCGAAACCGGAGTGTCTTAGTGTATTCTCTCGGCTTTGAACATTGTTTGTAGATAGTTTTTTCTATGCGCTTTTGGATAACCGCTGTTATAGTTGAATTTCTAAAATCAACTATAGGCCTAATAGGGTATCCTGACTTATGAACTTTAACAACACCATACATCCTACTGGGGTTATTAGTTTTGGACATCAAATTAAACCACTAAGACTCACCTAGAAACGGCTTCATTCGGCGTATAAGGTCCGCTGTAGATGTCTTAACTTTATTCATAACTGTATCTATTGGTTTATTAATTTCCTCATATGGTCCTGTTTGTATGTGAGTATTCACCTTCTTATGAATTATCTAAAGATTTAGCCATGGTATTAAACCCCCTAAAAATCCACTCGAAATCCAGACTAACTAATTCTTATGAACTCAAACACAGATTAGATAATTTAAAATTAGATAATGAAGAAAACATGGTTAGTTTTGACATTGTCAGTTTATACACACGTATACCAATAAATATGGCTATGGAGGCAGTCAGAAACGAACTCATTTCTGACCAAGAACTCGAACTTAGGACAAAAGTGCCACTTGAGGACATAATGGTGGGAGTACAGCTATGCCTGACTTCCACAGTATTTAAATTCCAAAGGAAAATATACAAACAAACTGAAGGAGTTGCCATGGGATCACCAATATCCCCAGTTGTAGCAGATATATTCATAGATAGATCAGAAAGCATGGCGGTTGAGACGTTCACCCCCACTCCAAAAGTATGGTGGAGGTATGTAGATGACACATTCACTGTACTTAGAACACAAGATTTAGATAGGTTTTTCGAACATATCAACTCGAAGGTTGAAGCAATTCAATTCACTTATGAATTGGAAAATCAGGAACTCAGGGAGCTTCCAATGTTAGATTGTAACGTAAAAAGGAAAGAAGATGGGAAGTTAAACACTAGTGTTTACAGGAAACCCACACACTCGAACAGATATTTAAACTTCCGATCATCCTATCCTATTTCAGTGAAAATAGGACTGGTGAAATGTTTAAGTAATAGAGCACAAAAACCAAGTAGTACCAATGAAAATCTAAGACAGGAAGTGATACACATAAGAGAAGCTTCGAAACTTCATAATTACCCAGATAAATTAGTCAAGAAATATGTAAGGAAATGTAAAAATAAAATAAATAATGATAGTAGCGATAGTGATAATAACAATAATAATGATAATAATAATAGTGATAATAATAATAATATTAATGACGACACCAATAATAAGGAATCGAAATCATCAGTAGTAATTCCATACAAGGAAGGAACCTCGGAAGCCTTACGCAGGATTCTTAACAAGGCAGGAATAAAAATGGCATTCAAACCCACAAACTCAATTAGAAACAAGTTTTGTCGTTTAAAGGATCCTGTAGAGCCTTTAAAACAAAACAATTTAGTTTATCTCATACCCTGCAATGATTGTCAGGTCAAATACATAGGTCAAACTAGTAGAACAGGGGAAGTCAAACTAGCTAAACATAAAAACCTAGCAAAATCTAGATTGGTTGACCCGAATAAGATAAGAAATCTAGATAATAGTTCAGCTATAGCACTACATGCAGTTACACACAACCATACAATAGGATGGATGGGATAGGATGACAGTTTTAAAATCTAATGTCACAGGGTATAGGGAGAGATTGATAACAGAAGCTTTGTTTATCGAATCAACTACAAATACATGTAATAGGAATGATTCATCACCTGTCTCCGATATCTGGAAAATTCTTCTACCACTACGACAAATAGGAGAGAACAAAGAAAACTATAAAACTCAAGTTTCGAAGTCGTGTGATTACAATTGATATGATTATGAACAATAAATTTTGTTCGAAACGTCATCTAGTTAATAATACTGTTTCACTGTGTGATATACCTAATAAACAAACTAATATGGAATTACTTACTACCACAGTGCCCAAGTTTTACACATATATTCTTTATATTAACAGAAATACCATGTATACGTCTGCATTTAAAGTATTTCTTAAACCAGAAAATATAATGAATAGATAGCAAATACAAAACCAGTGAAAATTTGATGTCAGAACTTAGTTTCAGGCCTTCTTGTCGATTACTTCAAACCATTCAGCATCAGTATTCTTAAATGTTGATTAGAATCTGTTGAGTGAACCAGTATTGTGGTCACTGAGTTAAACAACAAGACTACTTCGCACTGTAGTGTACTTTAATTTGATGTTAGATATTAGTCTTTGATCGATAAGAATCCTTATATTTATGTTCAATGCTCATCAGTAAGAGGAGGAGAAGGAAATCTCTGTTTCCTTAGAAATATTAGGTAGTAACATAAATATTCAGACAAACTTCTTCCAGGAGAACATTTTAATCACCATGTTTTATATTGAATCTGAAATTTTCTCCAAAAATAAACCCTGCTAGTTCATAATGTCAACTTACCGTTGGAGCATAGTGACTTAGGCAGAAGATTAAAATATAAAAATCTTGATTTATTCAACTATCTTAACAAGTAATTATTTCTACTCTGCAGTTAATTTCATGAAAGATATTATCCTAAATTTTATTTGAACAATTAAAAAATGATCTGTAAAATTCTACTTGAGCATACCTTTTCATTTTCCATAGCTTTTCTTCCATCAGTGCAACAAGGTATCTTAGTACTGTCTTGTTTTCTAAGGTGTATGCATGATATATGCTCACACCTACCATCTTCTTTGTATGTTTGATCGGAAATTTTTGAAGTTTTTTTCGGCTTTGAAATAGCTTCGTCTTCTTGAAAATAAGGCATGTCTGGAGAATGGATAACATTTTCATGTGTTGATTCCACGTTGTATTTAATGTGATGATCAATAAATGGGGAATGTTGATCGTTTTTCCCCGAAAAGTCATTACTGTGTCTTTCATTTTGATAAAATCTCTCAGGATTAAAACTTTGACATGGCGCTTCGATAGTGTAAGTTTTATTCATGTGATTATAAATAGGATCGACTCTCTTGAGGCCATCATCTGTATTCGAATTGCTGAAAGCTTTTTGGGGATTTTGATCTTTGAAAGATGAGTGAAAATGATCTCTCAAGAAATGATTCATGTATTTATGAAAATTAGTCTGTGCTATTTGTGAGTGTGATGAATTTGTGAAATACTTATGTATGCAGCAGTTACAATGATGCAAATCAATAAGTTGATCAGGATCTGTATTATCAAAGTGTCTAGATAAATATAAGTATGTTTATTAATTAGAAGTGATAATTTCAGCTGGTTTAATAGCATAACTACTAAGGAAATTATATAAAGTATGAAAAATACCCGCATGATTTAAATGAAAAAGGTCAGTAGTTCATATCAGTTGGTGATAAAACACATGAAATTACATATCAAGAAAAAAGTTAAATATTCTTATTTGTTTCCATTGTTTATTGTAACTCTAACGATAATAAAAATTTGGAGACTGTTTGCTCCTATATTCTCTAGGACTGTTTGATATTCAATTACTAATATATCTTTTAAACTGTAACTACGTACTATAACGGATAAATTACCCAGGAAATCCTTCCTCAACGATACAATCACAATATTCATACTTATTTGTATGTTTCAGCTAACTTTGTAATTATTATTATTATTATCCGGTTTTTCTCCTAGACTGTATATCATACATTCACTTGATTTTTATCATTTATCTATTTATTCTCTAATTTTAATAATTCTTCTTGTGGTTGAAGATGTGTCGTTTAACGATGTGGTTTTCTTTAAATGAGTCAAGGTCATTCTGACCTTGGATTGTCCGTGGAAATAGTTAGTGAGTGATTCTTGTAAACACAGCTTTCGATCCCACCTTGTCATGTGCGTTGTACTTGTTTCTAAGGTACTTCTTACAGCTGAATTTTGGTTAGCTAATTTTATTCTATAGTGCTTGTTGTGTACTCAGAAAATTAACGCTTGCCTTTGTAGCTGCTTAACGGCACTGCTGAGGTAATTGCTAGTTTTTGATGTTATTACTGTTGCACGGAACCACAAATTCCAGCAATGAATAATCTTTTTGTTGCTTCTGTAGCATCTGTGACGGTGCTTGTCTCAAGGAAGTTTCAGATGGCTATACAGTAAAATACAAAGATTGGTTCCATGAGTTCAGACCACAACGAGTCATTTTCGGTTGCTGCAAGTACCTTTTCTGGTTTCTTGAGTAAATCAGTGGCAAACCTGAACAGTTGTGATGTAGAAGAGTAAGGTGTACATATCTTACACTGTCAATGACGATGTACAAAAAGTAAATTTGCATATATACACCTAAAAGTTACATATATTTCTTTTGAAACTACAGTTTTCGAGAAGTCACATCGAACAATCTGTACAATGTTTAAGAGTTTCGGAATGACAGCCTGTATCATTCATTACACAGGTATGTTGCATCATGTGTTAATAATATTTATTTATGTTCTTAATTGGAATTGCTAAGAATGGTCAACTGCTCTGGCAATTACAGGTTAAAATTTTTTACTTACTTCAGTCGTAAGCATAAGTATTTTTGAAAATAGAGGGATGAAAAAGCAATTGTACTCTTTGATAATTCTTCCTATAGGCTTGATCACAAGTTGATGTCAGTTAGTAAACCAGTTGAGAACCTGGAAGTACTGGACAGCTATTTCGTCCTTATTCGAGACTCTTAGGCAGTGCTCACCTACTAACGGTGTTCCAACCCAGAACCTTCCGGCTTCAATGTCAGCTCGTAAACCATTCAGCCACTGAAATCCGATCCAGCGACCAACTAATGAATTCCAAATTCTGTCACTTCGCCATATAAACGTAACGCGACTGTCAGCCAATGTCACAGGTGAGTAAATGGTCCCTTACTTGACTTGGTGTGCACCGAAAGGTCCTGGGTTGAAACTACAGTGGGGGGATACTGATGACGAGTTCCGAACTAGGACGAAGCAACTCTTCAGTATAATCAAGTTTTCAAAAAGTCCTCTAAATGATGCCAACTTGTGGTTCAACCTGTAACCAATCAAATCCCTACAAACCACCGCTTGACAACTCTCCTTATTTTGAATTTTTCTTGTAAAGTATATGAAATGGTATTTATTAGACGAATCGAAATAATGCGAAACCGACAAGTTCAAAACAGGAAGTAATAATTACAGTACATTTTAAAAACGGTTACATAAAAGGTTACACGAGGCAACGCATGAATAGAACTTTGCTGTAAAAGCTGTCAGTGGCCTGCCTAAAACATTGGGCTACCTAAATTTTCTCGCCATCAAAACGCATCGTTTTTACCCCTATTTCAAATGTTTCAATCTTCTAATTACCATTGTGAGTTTTAATCTATACTCGCGCATGATTTCAAATAAGTTTCCACCTACTGCTAGGAAATTTTCCGAGGAATTAGAGGAAGAACATTGTGCAGTAGCAGTACGTCAGATGATATATTATCAATTATTATATTATTTGATGATTCTGTACATGCAGTGAAACAGTCTGACAATTCTGCACCATGTTAAAACACAGTTTCCAGAATAAAGCTATATTATTATTATTACTGAATGTAAAATGAAGTCTTGGGTCGTGGCAAAATACAAACCGGTGGCCTTCAGATTAGCAGCCTAGGGCCCTAACAGCTGACTCTATGAGATCCAGATTTTCATAATCACCTTCAGTCATCACCGTAGTTAGACAGATCACACGTTTGATAAAAATAAATTTTTATCTTACATTTCATTTCGTGAGTAACGTCTTGAACAATCTATGGTATTTTAATACATATGAACAAAGCTATAGGTATAAGGGATATTTAAAAGATATTCAGTGTCTTTTAGAAGCTAGTAGTGAACTTGGCACTGTACTATTTAAATGGGAATGTATATACATACATACATACAAATTCATCTTCATTTCTAATTGCCAGGTCAGCTTACCTGAGTTGATAGTCATTTCTGAATTGCTGGAGGGCACGATCATTCTCCTTATTAGTACAAAAATTCATATTATTTGAGTGAGATGGTTGACTGGAGAAGTTAGGTACCCAAATATCTCTTGAAGGTTTATAACTAGAGAGAGGAATTTTTGTACTGCCATGTGAAGTTTGATGTTCATCGATAAATGCATAATCTTGCTCATCATTATGAGTTATGCATTTGTTGTATAGTTTATTACACCTTTCACAAATTCCAACATCAAATGTTTCGAAAGCTTTATCATTAATTTCTTTATTCAACTGATGATGATAAGAAGTTGGCTGTTGAGAAAAGAAGCAAGGCTTTGTATAATTCAACGGTGCCGATGATTTCGTCTGACTTCTTCCCTAAAATACAGAAATCAAAGAAAAGATAAAATTGCGGCATGTGCTACTAACAAGAATTATCAGTAGTATACAGACTCAGACTGATAAAAAAGTAGTTAAAATTGAAAACAACATTCTAAAACAGTGGCTACAGAAGTAGGAGGAAGCCTCAAATCTCAGTCTAGCCTACTTTGTGGTCAGGATAAAATCTCAAGATTTAACCTGATGAAAATCATCAACCAGTCAGAACAATTTATTATCCGCTGACGTGGCCAATCATAAATGTGGCTAAAAATGTATAAATATAGTATGATCTCCCTCAATAGAATGGTCTGTTACCAAATCTCTTGCTTCATCCCCTTACAAAATAACTATGCCCAACAAATGGCAAGTATTCATGTTAATGGTTTCTAAAGGTAGGGACGTATACACCACTTTTAAAAATAAAGACAAAAGACTGTGTTTAAATTTAAATGTGAATAAAAATATCGATAGTTAGTAGTCGACGCATATTCCAGAGTTCAACAATCAAGGTAGTTACGCGAGACCTTATTTTTTTGGTAGATGAAATCTAATAAGTGGTAAGATTTTTGTTTGTAAAAATTAGTGAGATTTACGGAAGTATAGATGTGATAGTGTAACGACAGAAGAAGAGGGCCAGGCAACAGATCGTTTATTGAGAAAATCAACACATATTTATAGATTTTGATGTACATTATTATTATTGTTGTTAGCAGAGAAGCAACGTCTTCTGATTGGTTGTTTTCTTACTGAAGGTTATTCTGTAATGCTTGTGACCGTTTCTTAGAAAGTTAAGCCATATATCTGCGAATCGTATTTGCACACGCTAAGTTTGCTGTGATTGGTTGATGAGTGAGTTCCTCAAGGTTAACCTTTGTTATTGTTTTTTCTCATGAACCCGATTCTGGACGTAAATGTTGACTTAAATTGTTGCCTACAATTTGCTCTCACCACAATAGCAATTAATGAGTGTTTGTCAGGATCCTTTCGCAGTACCTTGGTCATTGCAGTGCGGTTGTCAAGGAATATGAACATTGAACGTTGGTTCACTGACCTTGGTCACCATTGACGGGCAACTCGAAGGCGCAAATGGCTCGATCGTGTGCAAGTTCGAAGACGGCAGACAAATACGAATAAAAGTACTTTATAATTTTATTTGTTCTGAACCTTTGTTGGTAGACTTGTAGTTGTCTTCACTTTAATTGCCAAACAATATAACTTTCTTCTTACAACCATTGGTGTTTTGGATTTGAAGTCGAGACAAGTACATAGTCATTATCGGTTCAAAGCGTCTTCGTTACAATAGGAACTAAGGGCTAAGTTCTTTGACAACGGTTTCTTGGAAACTCCACTCACATTAAGACACCGACACAACGTCTCTCGATCGATGTAGTAAAATGTCATCCTTGTGTCAAGAAATATGCCAAGTGATGAACACCAGTAATTATTGCCTGGATGACAAAATCCATCGAAGGGTGGAAATTTTTCTCACTTCACTGTCACCCTTGCCTGAAGTCTACTTACTTATTTGGATACACTCTTACCGAGCCCATCTCCGTGTGGTTATAAAATCAATACTTATCACTTTTCCCGCAAATAGAGAAGACTAACAACTTATGTCAGTCTCCTGGGAGTACGCTAAATTCCTACAAATTACCTAGAATATTATTTAGTTTAGCGAATAATTTTATATCACAGTCTTCAATACGCTTGTAATCAAATCGTTACACTTCAGATTTTATAACTCGGTTAAAATTATAAGATGTGTTTACGTCTCGTCCAGGCTGAGGGTGGATGCAGGGAGCTGATAATCGTAAGCAATTTGAGTTACTCCTCAAAGTGTTCCGCCTGATGCCCCTGAAATGTCTTTTAGCGTCATCATCGATAGGTCTCTCGTCATAGATTTCCTGAGGAATGTTTACCTATTCAGCTTAAATAAGTGACCATTATTACCGAATGGTAATAGAAATATACCGTGTTCAACTATTTAGGTCTATAACCTGTCTGGATTTGATAAAGAATGATAGAAATTAGAGATTCCTAAAATTTCACTTGGCTCGGAAAATTCCATTTCGATGGATGTTAATAAATAGGAAATATGAATTCACACAGTTTCGATTAACTAACTTTAATATATAGAGAAAAATAATTATAAATGTATAACTTGCACAGGGTATATCTGTGTCATGACTTACAAATTTCTTTGTAATATCTGTAAAGTTTAGTTTCTTGTTTTCCGGAATATTATGAAGTTTTCTTTCTTCATCAAATGGATTTTGCATAAATCTGGGGTGTAATAAATAATCTCTAGGAGGAGAATTCAGTGTCTGAATTCTTCTGTTACTATTACAGTCAAGAAGGTGTACATCACAAGGATTTTCAAATATCATAAATTCTTTTTCCTTCATTTTATTATCATCTTGTATAGCAAATCCATAGTTTGAGAGAATTTCAGAGTTGTTCTGATTTCTTTGCTGTTCAAATGGATCTGGTGAGTTTGATCGAGACTGTGACAGAAAAAGTAAAGTTTAAAAAATATCATGTTTTTCAAAACCAGTTAAGCTACAAATAATTAAATGGATTGACGTTAGCAACGCATATCATATCTAGGATTAGCACACCTCGATTCCATTCATCACACGTCATCTTTATGATGTTTAATTTGATCATTATCAATTTTGTTATCAGAATGAAATAAATCAGAATGAAAGGTGGTAATTTAGCTGCAGTATTAGGCACTTTAACGAAGTTTATAGCTGAGTGTCAGTGTTTATCATCTGACAGTCAGTCAGTCTTCTATGTTCGTTGCTTGAGGTGGGAAATACATCACGAATTAACAAGACGTTAAAAAAACTTTTAGTGAAACTTGCTACTTGGATATAATTAAAGTTTCTTGTGTTCGGCTACTAACTCTTTTCCTCTTTTTACAACTGCCATTTCACACCGTTTAAAATAGTTAACAAAAATAATTAAGTATCACAATTTTATGGACGAAAATGGATAGAAGTAAAATTTGATGATGAAACTGCTAAGAGAGTGACCTACAAACAAATTTTGAAATGTTTGTTGGATTCAGTCAAAGAGCAAATTTATTTCATACATTTAGTTCACTTGATAAATTTCTATGGGAAAAGAAAGACCAGAATTTCAGTGTAAAATGATATTCTATTTCACAGTTTCTCATCAGCTGTAAACTACCGAAAAATTGATGGATTCGCCATCGGTTCACCTCTAGGACCTATTCTAGAGGATATCTTCATGGGTTATCTTGAAAAGACGCGACTGGGTGATGCTATCAATGAAACAACCTACTGTCGCTGACACGTCCACCATATGTTTGTTGTTTGTAACGATACGAGTCAGGTATCCGTATCAGTATATGTGCAAAACTTGGGCACTGTGGTAGTAAGTAATTCCATATTAGTTGCTATACAGACGTACAAGCTAAACTGTTTATTAGATTTTTCTGATTTCTGGCTTCTCTCACCCTCCGTTTTTCGTAGTTTGATAGCAAATAAATTGATGGTGACTTAAACTAAAAATTGTAACGCTTGTATTCAGGATGCGTTCATCCCAAAACAGAATTGCCTTCCTGGATGTCCTCCTTACAAGAAAACCAGATGGTACCATGAAAAGAAATTGGCATAGAAAAAGTACTTGGACAGGACAATATACACATTTTCACAGCTTCGTTCCTCTCAAGTATAAAAGAAATTTAGTAAAGACCCTCAGTCACAGAGTTAGAGCTATATGCTCAGAAGAAGTAATTGAAGATGAATTAAGCATTGTATATGACACTTTGATCGAAAATGGCTATCCAGACAAATTTATCAAAAAACACATGACATAGAAAGCGGAAAAGCACTACTCATTATCGGTAAACAAGAAGCCTCTTTACATACGACTGAAATTCAAGGGCGATATACCATGTGAGATAATTACGAGGAAATTAAGGAAATCAGTTCAAAGAACTTTCAATACTGGCGAACTGCACGTCTTATTCTCTACACGACCGATGGTGATTCCCCAACTGAAAGATGAAGTAGCTGGACTAGCCACTTCAAATGGTATCTACCAATTCAACTGCGATTGTGGTGGAGCGAGTTATATTGGGTGCAACTCTAGGAACTTGATTTTTGTGCTCGAGAACATATCCCACTATGGCTAAGTAAAGGTGTAGTAAAAACCACCAACAGTTCGATATTAGACCATCTGGTCCCAACCGGCCACAAAGCCAGCATTGAAGAATCCTTCCCTGTCATTTACTGGTTGCCTAATAAATTGCCAAAAACATCGAGGTACCGTATGCTCCAAACAGCAGAGGCTACCACAATTCGCGTGAAACAACCAATAGTTTATGTGCAAAAGAAACAAGTCCAGCCACTACTACTGCCCTGGCCGGTCTTCAGTAGAGACTATAAATTCATGAATTCGTATTACTATCTTTCTTAATTTTTCTGACATTCAGCTTATATTGATGCTATTGAGCTGTAATCTATCGATATTATTTTTTTATCCTTCACGTTCCCCAGTGGAACATAGGGCTTCAAACTAGTGGCTTGAAGTTTCTGTAGCAGTGGTCTTTGTTTTTACAGGATGGGGTTGCCAGCCTCATGCCCAACCTTTCCTCTTCACCAGCATTATTTCTGGCTTAGCGAGGTAAAGGAGTGCGTCGGCCGGGGTTCGATATTATTGATTCGATGTCATTTAAACTGCATTAATGTTGTTCATAACACTAATTTATGCATTCACTATAATGTGTATATATAACTGTAGAGCCTTACGATGAAGTTATCACAAAGAGTATTCTTTGTTCAGTAAGCATTCTTTTATATTGTTTTCTCTATTACCTTTCAAACATTGAAGTATGAAATGTCACTATTTATAACCATTGTAATTTCATGTAGTTTGCAGACGATGAGCACCTGTAAAGTAGAATGATATCATTTTATACTGCAAATCTGGTCTTTCTTTCCTATATGGAAACAAATTTATTTGATTTTGGTTGTCATCTGATTGTGTGTCTGAACTGAGGATATCGTGTTTGATACGTAGATGACATCACTTCGGGGACCATTGAAAATTCCGAAGTACGAAATTGCCGTTATATCATAATTTGAGAGTTTTAAATCACAAATTTCCTCCCAATATATTGAGCTGAAGATTATCAGGTTACGAGGCGAACACAATACACTTCATTCATCGGATAGGAATTAAATGGTAAGTAATTTGTAACTATCATTTTTCCCACAGTAGTACAGCTTGAATTCATTCTTACAAGTAATAAATTCTCCTAAAATTAAAATGAGTAGGCCAGTTACGGCTTGAATTGAAGATAGAAGTAAGACAAGAATGATTGCCATCACCGATGGTATTCCTAATTGTAGTGGACTGGAATGTGCGAAACACCGCATATGGGGAGCAAGAAGACAGGAATACGTTGGACCAATAGGAAGACTCTAGAAGATCTCGACTTCGCAGATGATATAGGTTTAATGTCACACGAACTTGATGACTTTCAGGCGAAAACTGACAAGTTGGCAGAAGATGCAGGCAGCGGAGATAGGACTTCAAGTAAAGATAAAAAAGAAGGAAGTGATGAAACTAACCATTCCAACTACAGGAAAACAACACGGATGAGAATATCAAAATCAGCCAGAATCGGAGAAGCAAGGTAAATGTTCATAACTCTGAAATCAGTTTAGAAATCCTTTGCACTCCGCTGCATAAACAGTAAAATTCACACCTTTAACACCAATGTCAAGTCACCCATTTCTTCTACACAAGTTAGAAACTTGAAATGTTACATAAAACATTTCTAACAGGTTACGACAGATTTTTACCAACAGCTGCCTTTATTGGCTCCGTACTGAAGATCAGATGGCCAAAGAGAATTAGCAACGAGAGACTCTGGGAACAAACTAACCAAGAATCTATTGCTCAACAATTATGTTAAAGGAAATGGTGACCGATAGGATATACTCTGAGAAGAGCGTTGGGTAAAATTGCAAGACAGGCCATCTATCTAGTGGAACCCGATTGGGAAACGACGAGTCAGGTGTGTGTCCGTGGTGATATGGAGGAGATTGTGTGAGGAGGGGATGAGCGCTTACGAGGAATCGTGTGGTCAACTGAAGGCGGTCACAGAGAATAGGAACCCAAGGCAATAATAATAATGACATGATCTTCTGAAAGATGGTGAATTTTTATTTCAGAGTGACAATAACTAGTCCAATTCCCTATGAGACAAGAGACTCGTATTTCTGAAAAATTATTAAGTAAAAAGTTGAATTGTGATAGAATCGACCTTAAAAACAATCGAATCGTCTTCCAGTCAACCAATAAAATTGTTAAAGCAATTAAAAAGGAGTAATCAGCACTGGTGACATACCGGTTACCGGTGTTGAAGAAATGCTGAAATTCAGACAGAAACATTCCTCGGGAATCAGTAGTTTACAATTTCTATCTTATAATTCAACTTCGTCATGAATCCTCAAGTAAAAGACTTTGAAATTATCAGGGGATCAATCTTGTTGCATTTTCCTAGTTGGGTATCTACCTGTTTGTCCATGTTGGCGTCTGTGTAAAATGCATGTAAAGCAAGTGTTTTCGGTCTGATTTTTCTATAGGAAATCTGAGTGTTTACTAAAAGTTGTACATCTTCTCTACTGATAAGTATCAACAAAAACGAGTCACAGTTTTATGGCTTCAAACGATTTGATTCTAAAGACTTCATTTTAAAATGTGACCGTTATAAAGTAGTTAGATGTTTGTAGGGAAAACCAAGTTAGATTGTAAACGCTACAACTTACATGAAATCCTGAAGAATGCGTATGGTGAAGGTCGTGGTCAAAAAGGTCATCACTTAAATCAACAGGTTTAAATGCAAAAGATTCATCCATTTTTGGCGGTGAATGGTCGCGGAAATTTTGATTGCTTTCTTTCGAATGAACAGAATCAACTGGCTGACTATTACTCACTGAATGACAGTTATTCGCATCTGAACAGTGCCGTTTTTCTTTACCTGTTCTGTTGTATAACCCTCTAGGTAAATTAGAAATTAATATAAAGCTTATTATTTTCTCTTTATATAATTTATATGAAAATGAAACTTCATGAGATAGGTATAAGGTGAATGAGTAGCTTTATTTCATGATCTTACTTCCCCTATAATAAGCGTTTTCGAACTAAAGGATATTTGAAAAGTAATACATTCGAAGGTTAGTGTTAGAAGAGGAAGTGATTAAAAGAATATTCTATGAGTGAGTGAGCAATTCAGTCGGAAAATAATCAATTTCAGTGATTACTGAGATTGAATTCTCTACTACAAACTCACTGTTTTTTCCAACTTAACATTTCCATGTTCATTTCTGTTAGATTTTGTGGATGTACAGTAGGGAATTGTTAAAAACTGAGCTACAACGACCTTCTAGGCGTGTCTGTGGTAAAATACATTAAAGTTAACGATAAACAAAGTTTAAAGTCAACTTTTTAAAGTAATTTCTTCTTATAAGAAGGGTTCTTTCTCAACGTCAATTGAATACATACTTTCAGTTATCAAATTGTTTTACTGAAAAGACGGTTGCATTGAAGAAAATTTTCTTTGCGACGAAGTCACCATCATCTAGACTGTACATTCGTGTATTTATAGAGTAAACGAGTGAGAAAGTTCCAAGACTAATTCCAGTCAGGCGTCAGATTAACAAGATTACAAAGTGTAGTAAACAAGAAGATCGGATAAAAAACATAGCAGGATCATAATTATTGAGAAACTTGACTTTTTTCTACAGTTAGGGATTAAAAACGTAGTAACAACGAATTCTTTTTTCATAGTGAAAGTGAAGCTGAAACTTTAGATGAGTAATTTTCAGCTAGTTCACTCAATAATGCTGACCATGATAAGTCAGCTTCAGGGAATTCATAATGTATGATAGTTTATAGTTTGATATTATGATCAAGAATTCATTTAATTTCAATAAATACATTTATTCACACAAAACTAGGATCTGCTCTACTCTTTATTGTCCATAATAAATTGCGTGAATAGACAATGTTAAGGTTCATGAAACGTAAACAGGACTCCGTGAAGAATGATAACGTTAGGCGACAGTGATAGAAGTTACAGTTATAAAGTAAAATTATGAGTGATTCATATCGACCAGAGAACTAAGAGGAACTACAAAATACTAAATAGCTGTATACCGAAGGCCATTCAACAAAAATGAATAAAAGTATGTTCATCACTCACCTTTTCTTCGCTTTGTAAAGAAAATCATCAATTATCCGTTGAACACGTGAACGATGGACAAATGAACTAAAAAGATAAATAAATAAATTGAAAAATAAAAAATTATTGGCTACAATTGCTGGAATTCCACTAAACAAAGTATATACATACTGATCAAATTATTTATCTTCAATAATTCTTGCTTTAAATGATGTCATTGTCATTCAGTCCTTAAAGCTGTATGAATTAGTTGTGAAGATTTTTGTCTCCCTTCAGCTCTAATTTCACTTTGAAGTTTAAAGATGTTCGAGAGTAGATGTATATGGACCTTGGTCTGTTTACTGCCACAAAAACAGATTGCCGTTGTATCAACTGAATTCGTTTGAATTGCTGTCGTTCTATTTAAACACTAAAATTCAATTAGCAGGAGATTCTACTTTGATTGACTTTGATTGGACACTGACTAGTATCATACGTCTGTTCCTTTGTTTTGGGCAGACTGAATTCTGTCAGTCAAGTTTACAGTGTGGCAACGATGCTAGGTGGCTCGCTAAAACGGTGTACTCTGAGCTGTTGTTATTAGGTGGTTGGAGGCAATTGGCAGGAAGCCTTGCCTGACCTAGATGTGGTGCTTGTTGGCACTCGTCAGCACGGCACATCTGCAATCCTGCAGGAATTCATGCTGCTTCTGAGATCACAACCCGCGTCATTCAGTTCTACATTTAGAGACGTTACTACTAATCTATTCAGGCTCGCGATTGACCTTCTATGGGACTGTATTAGATACCTTGATTGGACGCTAACTAGTGTTTACTTGTATTTCTAGGATGACCTATCATTTAGGGTATCTACATCAAGCCATGCCTATAGAAAGTATTCTTTTTCTCCAAATCTAGTTAATTATTTTGTAGAGATGCCCATTACGGGTTGGACTTGTCTTCATATAGAGAAATCTGTAACCACTGTTGCTTTTATCACACTGTTGAAACTTTGATCACTTGAAGTGGTTACAGATAAAGAGGTGAGATGTTACATGAAAAGAAAAGAGCATCCACATCAAACCAACATCAATGAGGAATTTTTTCTGTATACTGCTGATCTATTGGTTAGTATTTGCAAAACTGTAACGGAGAGTTCAGGATTTCGTAATGAGATGGCATCGGTTAGAGAACCATTGGAAAGCCACCGGAGAATGCTGGATAGCTGTTTCATCTTAGTTTGGAACTATCCATCAGTAAAGTTCCACCTAGGTTCTAACTCAGGACCTTCCGGTCACAAGGAGACCTCGTAGACCGTTCAGCCACTGGGACCCATTCCAGTAGCCCATGAATTCAAGTATTTATTTAGATGATGAATATAACAACTCTGAATTTTACATTACTTTAGTCAGCAACAGCTCAGGAAAGCACATATGAAAGGAGGAAAAAACTAAATCTGATGTAATTCTATAATAATTTGTTTATTACATATGTCACACAGTCAGAGAAACAGTATTGTTTACTGAATGACAAGGTTTCCTATCCACATGCATAGGATAATACATGTTTGACATGAATAGGATAATGAAGCACCAGCAACACCAAGGAATTTAAATCATCAGTAGTACTTATTTACAAAGAAGGTGTCTTGAAAACCCTATGGAAAATTCTTAACAATGCAAGCAAGAATAACAGTGATATTCGCTTCACCCACAAACTCACTTAGAAACAAGCTTTGTCGGTTAAAGGGTCCATACTATGGAGCCAATTAAACAAAACAATCGAATTTTTTAAAAACCCTGTCCTCAGTGATTGTCAGGTTAAATAGGTAGGTCAGAGTATTAGAAAGGGGTTAATCAGACTAGTGGAGCACAAAAATCTAGCAAAATTTAGATTACTTGACCCGAATAAGATATGAAATCTGGAGAAAAGTTCAGTTGTAGATATCACTATATGCAATCGCACACAGCCATACAATAGGATGGGATAAGATGACAGTTCTAAAATCTAATGTAACAGGGTGGAGGGAGAGATTGATAACGGAAGCTTTGTTTATCGAATCAATTGCAAATACGTGTATTAGGAATGATTCAACACCTGTCCAAGACATCTGGAAAATTCTACTACTCCTACGACAAATAGGAGAGAACAAAGAAAACTATAAAACTCAAGTTTCGAAGTCGTGTGATTATAACTGATCAGATGATTATGAACAATAAATTTTGTTCGAAACCCTGTCATCCAGTAAATAATACTGTTTCACTGACTGTGTGATATATCTAATAAACGAATTATTATGGAAAACATACTACCGCAGTATCCAAGTTTTACACATATATTAAATCTAATGAATATTTAATGGACGGAGGAGCATAGAAACTCTTATGGTGAAACTAACCTTGGTAATTTGCGTTTAGAGGTTGGTTGACTAGAGTTGTAGGCATACGATTCCAGGTTATAACTTCCTTTGTTCTAGATTGAATAAGTAATATGGTTTTAAAAAAAAGAGTACAAATGAGAATGGTGAAAATATTATTTTAACTGACGCTATATACTATCAGTTGGTTGATTTAAGCAGTTGAACACCACTTACGTCAACTAATGGTGCTTCCTAGCCAAATCGAAGTGATCTAAACACCAGAAGACCGTTTGTTTGTTTGAAGCTGAGCTCTTCAGTGACGTACTGAGTTAAGCTATACTCAGAGTGTCAAATCAGTCCAAACCTCCGAATGCTGCTTAGCTATTTGAGCGAACTTGAAATACGGTAGATAAAAATCCTCAATTTGCAAGTTACACATTTCGACGTAATATTTCACCGCAGTCTTCTTTGGGGATTGAAATTCTTCAGATCACATGATGTGATCTACTTGCTACTATATTTAGCTGATGAATACAACTACCTGATCGGTGAAGAGTAACAGACTCCTAGATCCAGTTGCTATCTAGACCAGGTTAACGGAAAATAAAAGCTAGGTATTTCAAAAGCTTTGTAAAGAAAATTATAATAACCTGACAGAGAAGACCAAAATTACTACATTGCATAGAATGTAAGATTTTATATGCTTGAAATAATTTCAGTTTACAGTGTAAGATTTTACAGTGGAATACATTACTGTGAAGTAATACACCACGCCCAATTTATCTTCAAATTCAAATTATTACCTAACTGCCAGTCAGTTTATGTACATTGATAATGGCTTCACTTTCCTCGAGTGACACGGTTTAAGTGGTTAATCAGTAAAATTAGAACGGTGTTTCAAGTTTTCAAAGCGAATGAAAATTGTAGGTTTTCCAAATAGTCATCTTAACTTAATATGTGAAATTGTTCCTCCTTGCAAATAACTGAAATTTTACACAACATACATGTAGGATGATTATCGCCCAATATCTTTCCGTATAACTTTAGGTCGAAATAAATTAAAATCTTGAATGTCTAATATTTGCTATGTCACTGAAATAAATAAACCTAATCGCTAATATTTATTATAGTGTTACCACAATTCTCGAACATCCATCCTCATCCGAGCATTAATGAACAAACAAAAAAGGTGTTCAGAGAAGGGGTTGTTTTCGGAGATTTCATTCTAATGAAACAATTCACAAACAGCTTGAATGCACTGGGTAACATACCACAAAATTTTATGGCCTCCCGAAAATTTATGAGACAGGGAAGCTGCTTTGATCAGTTCAAGATATGCTGAATTCTCTATATCACATAAAGTTGCCAGATGAGTTGTTACACCCGTAAGAGAATCTCTAACAAAACACTCCTTGAAAAAGTTTGATTAACCTAGTTAGGATTCTTGATAACACAAAGATTAAAGGGAAAGATGGGTTCACTTGACACAGAATATTTGTTTACGAGTATTCTACTTAATGAAATATTCAATTATATTTGAAATGAGATCACAAGCCAGCCGAATATCACGTCTACTAAGCCAGAGATGACGTAAGATGCACAATGCCATTGCTAACGATTTTGAGCCATATCACCAATTGTCTTCAGGCTTCATTGGTTCTTACCATTCCGACGACATTAACCAGGAAGCCAGTCTACACATCCCTACGTGGTTGCCCAGCTCAAACTATCTATTATGGATTTTACTGACTGATGAAGCCATGTTTTCGTTTGACCACCACTAGTTGGCTCTTTTCCAACCCGATCGATCCTGTCAGCTAACATCGCTCGTTGAGGAAGGTGATGGCTACGCATGCATGTGTAACACATGTCCTAATCATCTCAATCGATGCAGCGTCATGACCTCATCGATTGATTTTCCCTCTTCAGGTAACAGTAAACGCCTAACCTGAACATTACTCACCCTTTTACAACAATCACCTAACATGGAAGATAGAACGCAGACATCTATGATCAAAGACAGTTAGCCAGCCAGCCTTTTCATGTCTTCTACTTTCATTGACCATATCTTATTCATGGCCATAAGGGTGGATGAAGCGAACTACTGAACAACAAACACGTCCTTTGATCGATATCCAGCCGTATATCACTTCTACTAAGCCAGAGATGATGCAGGTTGGCACATGCTACACAAGCCTTTTGCATCTGTGGTAAGATTGCGTTGGTGATCAGCCCATTGGGGCTGACGCAACTCCCTCAACAATAATTGAAGTGATCAACACGCTCTACCATTTCTCTCACTCCTTATCTTTAAGCTAGGAGTCGATGTAGTCCAGTCGTGGAGCCTCATCATCCTACATTTAAAAGGACAGAATGGTATGCAAGAATATGGAGATTGCTCCTCAAGGTGTTCAGAAGACTCTGCTGTATTTAGCCAGCATCTTCACCTAGGAGGACTATTTTATCCGCATCTTCTAGATGAACAAGACTATTCCCTGGTAAAAGTTCAATCCATAAGCCACTGAAGTCAATAAAAAGGTTAATTCAATTAGTACAGCAATGATGAACTTAAACAAGAAAAGGGAGAGAAGGCATCCGTAACGGATACGACTGGTTAACATGGGCTGATGTTAGTGAACATGAATTAAGAGGAGGAAATGAAAGCTATATTGAGAGAATGCATGTTCTGTAGGCTGTACTTAGATGACACAGTCATTACTGGCGACAGTTACGGGTCAGTTAACGATTTTTTCACCTCATCTAGTCATGAACATCTAAATATCTCACTGTCATCAGAATTTGGAGAACAAGTTGGGTTAGTTGAATAATTCAATGACTAGACGGGACTAAGGGAGAAGTGGGTAGTCAATAACTTCTCAAATAAGCATGGAATGAACAAAACATTCACTTCAGTATTTTACCTTGTAGTGAGAACAAGCCTTCCTAATTAATAAAATGGCTTTCTGAAAAGATGTTTAAAATTTGTACGAACGATATGGCAACTGGTGAATTGGAGCGCACACATTCACTTTAACAGAATGCATATTCTGTAAGTTTTATCATAATCTTACTATAAAGAGAAAATACCTATTGTAAGGGCATCCTCTGTAGCAAAGAAAGATATCCCCATTAAACTGTCACACATAAGCGATCAAATTGTGAAACCGACAGTTAAGAGGTTGTACTGAGATATCATGGGGACCATCAAAGTCATATCTTTCTTCTTAACCTATCAAGTACTTTCTCTTCTTACACACTGGAATAAAGAGTGAAAGTTTGTTAGCTTTACATTGAATCTAGAAGTTTATCTTCGGTTGTTCGAATTTAGAAAATATTATGATGTCATTGGGAAGATCATGTTCTCAGTTCGCTATAAAATCACACTGAAAATACAAATCCATTTAATCCGAATAGAAATCTAGCATCACTTATCACGAAAAGTTTATTTATATCTGGCCGTAGAGAACACTTAAGCACACGAGCAAAACAATTAAAGTTTCATGTTGTGCTGCATAACATTCCATTTAATTTCGACTTCAATTTTCACTCACTGAGTTGAACTCATTATTAAGCCTTTAAATTTAGTTAATTGTTTGTTTGTGTCATAATTTTACTTTACTATTCACTCCTACCCTCTTCATCATTATATGTATAAATTCAGTATGTTGTTCTATCTTGTATTTCGTATCTAGTCAATACTTGTTTCCAAGTGAAATCTGAAATCAACCCCCTTCCTCTCAAGTTATACTAAAAATAGTTGGTCTTATTAACAATGAATAATTTGTCTGCTCACACCATTATTGGAATTATGTTGCTTATACTTCCTATCTATAACTCTAAGTGACTGTGGACAAAAGTATGTTTAGACAGCATTTTGTAGCTCATAATTTGATACTTATTTAGAATGTACACAGTTGAAGAGAATCGATGAAATAAAACGAGCAAATATGTTAGTTCTTTCTTTGTGTAAAATAATAAAAGGAACTGGTTCTATGACATTTTTATTATTGTCAACCATGCTAGTTGTAGCATGACTATAAAGGAGGCACTTTTAGGTATTCTGTTTAGATTTGTCAAGTAAAATGAAAGGTTTTACGTTT